CGCACAGAGACCCACAGACTCACACAGAGACCCACAGACTCGCACAGAGACCCACAGACTCGCACAGAGACCCACAGACTCACGCAGAGACCCACAGACTCACACAGAGACCCACAGACTCACGCAGAGACCCACATACTCACACATAGACCCACAGACTCACACAGAGACCCACAGACTCACGCAGAGACCCACAGACTCACACAGAGACCCACAGACTCACACAGACCCACAGACTCACACATAGACGCACAGACTCACGCAGAGACCCACAGACTCACGCAGAGACCCACAGACTCACGCAGAGACCCACAGACTCACACAGAGACCCACAGACTCACGCAGAGACCCACAGACTCACACAGAGACCCACAGACTCACACAGAGATCCACAGACTCGCACAGAGACCCATAGACTCGCGCAGAGACCCATAGACTCGCGCAGAGACCCACAGACTCGCACAGAGACCCACAGACTCACGCAGAGACCCACAGACTCGCGCAGAGACCCACAGACTCACGCAGAGACCCACAGACTCACGCAGAGACCCACAGACTCACACAGTGACCCACAGACTCACACAGAGACCCACAGACTCGCGCAGAGACCCACAGACTCGCGCAGAGACCCACAGACTTACACTGAAACCCACAGACTCACACAGAGACCCACAGACTCGCACAGAGACTCAGAGACTCGCACAGAGACCCACAGACGCACGCAGAGACCCACAGACTCGCACAGAGACCCACAGACTCACGCAGAGACCCACAGACTCACACATAGACCCACAGACTCACACAAAGATCCACAGACTCGCGCAGAGACCCACATACTCACGCAGAGACCCACAGACTCGCGCAGAGACCCACAGACTCGCGCAGAGACCCACAGACTCGCACAGAGACCCACAGACTCGCGCAGAGACCCATAGACTCGCGCAGAGACCCACAGACTCGCACAGAGACCCACAGACTCCCACAAAGACCCACAGACTCGTGCAGAGACCCACAGACTCACGCAGAGACCCACAGACTCACGCAGAGACCGACAGACTCACACAGTGACCCACAGACTCACACAGAGACCCACAGACTCGCGCAGAGACCCACAGACTCGCGCAGAGACCCACAGACTTACACTGAAACCCACAGACTCACGCAGAGACCCACAAACTCGCACAGAGACCCACAGACTCGCGCAGAGACCCACAGACGCGCGCAGAGACCCACAGACTCGCGCAGAGACCCACATACTCACGCAGAGACCCACAGACTCGCGCAGAGACCCACAGACTCGCGCAGAGACCCACAGACTCACGCAGAGACCCACAGACTCACGCAGAGACCCACAGACTCACACATAGACCCACAGACTCACGCAGAGACCCACAGACTCACACATAGACCCACAGACTCACGCAGAGACCCACAGACTCACGCAGAGACCCACAGACTCACGCAGACACACACAGACTCACGCAGAGACCCACAGACTCACACAGAGACCCACAGAGACCCACAGACTCACGCAGAGACCCACAGACTCACACAGAGACCCACAGACTCACACAGAGACCCACAGACTCGCGCAGAGACCCATAGACTCGCGCAGAGACCCACAGACTCGCACAGAGAGCCACAGACTCGCGCAGAGACCCACAGACTCGCGCAGAGACCCACAGACTCGCGCAGAGACCCACAGACTCGCGCAGAGATCTACAGACTCGCGCAGAGACCCACAGACTCACGCAGAGACCCACAGACTCACACATAGACCCACAGACTCACACAGAGACCCACAGACTCACTCAGAGACCCACAGACTCACACAGAGACCCACAGACTCACACATAGACCCACAGACTCACGCAGAGACCCACAGACTCACGCATAGACCCACAGACTCACGCAGAGACCCACAGACTCACGCAGAGACCCACAGACTCACGCAGAGACCCACAGACTCACGCAGAGACCCACAGACTCACGCAGAGACCCACAGACTCACGCAGAGACCCACAGACTCACGCAGAGACCTACAGACTCACACAGAGACCCACACTCACACAGAGACCCACAGACTCACACAGAGACCCACAGACTCACACAGAGACCCACAGACTTGCACAGAGATCCACAGACTCGCACAGAGACCCACAGACTCGCACAGAGACCCACAGACTCACACAGAGACCTACAGACTCACGCAGAGACCCACAGACTCGCACAGAGACCCACAGACTCACACAGAGACCCACAGACTCGCACAGAGACCCACAGACTCGCACAGAGACCCACAGACTCACGCAGAGACCCACAGACTCACACAGAGACCCACAGACTCACGCAGAGACCCACAGACTCACACATAGACCCACAGACTCACACAGAGACCCACAGACTCACGCAGAGACCCACAGACTCACACAGAGACCCACAGACTCACACAGACCCACAGACTCACACATAGACCCACAGACTCACGCAGAGACCCACAGACTCACGCAGAGACCCACAGACTCACGCAGAGACCCACAGACTCACGCAGAGACCCACAGACTCACACAGAGACCCACAGACTCACGCAGAGACCCACAGACTCACACAGAGACCTACAGACTCACACAGAGATCCACAGACTCGCACAGAGACCCACAGACTCGCGCAGAGACCCATAGACTCGCGCAGAGACCCACAGACTCGCACAGAGACCCACAGACTCACGCAGAGACCCACAGACTCGCACAGAGATCCACAGACTCGCACAGAGACCCACAGACTCGCACAGAGACCCACAGACTCACACAGAGACCTACAGACTCACACAGAGACCCACACTCACACAGAGACCCACAGACACACAGAGACCCACAGACTCGCACAGAGACCCACAGACTCACGCAGAGACCCACAGACTCGCGCAGAGACCCACAGACTCACGCAGAGACCCACAGACTCACGCAGAGACCCACAGACTCACACAGTGACCCACAGACTCACACAGAGACCCACAGACTCGCGCAGAGACCTACAGACTCACACAGAGACCCACAGACTTACACTGAAACCCACAGACTCACACAGAGACCCACAGACTCACACAGAGACCCACAGACTCGCACAGAGATCCACAGACTCGCACAGAGACCCACAGACTCGCACAGAGACCCACAGACTCACACAGAGACCTACAGACTCACGCAGAGACCCACAGACTCGCACAGAGACCCACAGACTCACACAGAGACCCACAGACTCGCACAGAGACCCACAGACTCGCACAGAGACCCACAGACTCACGCAGAGACCCACAGACTCACACAGAGACCCACAGACTCACGCAGAGACCCACAGACTCACACATAGACCCACAGACTCACACAGAGACCCACAGACTCACGCAGAGACCCACAGACTCACACAGAGACCCACAGACTCACACAGACCCACAGACTCACACATAGACCCACAGACTCACGCAGAGACCCACAGACTCACGCAGAGACCCACAGACTCACGCAGAGACCCACAGACTCACGCAGAGACCCACAGACTCACGCAGAGACCCACAGACTCGCACAGAGATCCACAGACTCGCACAGAGACCCATAGACTCGCGCAGAGACCCATAGACTCGCGCAGAGACCCACAGACTCGCACAGAGACCCACAGACTCACGCAGAGACCCACAGACTCGCGCAGAGACCCACAGACTCGCGCAGAGACCCACAGACTCACGCAGAGACCCACAGACTCACACAGTGACCCACAGACTCACACAGAGACCCACAGACTCGCGCAGAGACCCACAGACTCGCGCAGAGACCCACAGACTTACACTGAAACCCACAGACTCACACAGAGACCCACAGACTCGCACAGAGACTCAGAGACTCGCACAGAGACCCACAGACGCACGCAGAGACCCACAGACTCGCACAGAGACCCACAGACTCGCGCAGAGACCCACAGACTCACACATAGACCCACAGACTCACACAAAGATCCACAGACTCGCGCAGAGACCCACATACTCACGCAGAGACCCACAGACTCGCGCAGAGACCCACAGACTCGCGCAGAGACCCACAGACTCACGCAGAGACCCACAGACTCACGCAGAGACCCACAGACTCACACAGACCCACAGACTCACGCAGAGACCCACAGACTCACACATAGACCCACAGACTCACACAGAGACCCACAGACTCACACAGACCCACAGACTCACGCAGAGACCCACAGACTCACACATAGACCCACAGACTCACGCAGAGACCCACAGACTCACGCAGAGACCCACAGACTCACGCAGAGACCCACAGACTCACGCAGAGACCCACAGACTCACGCAGAGACCCACAGACTCACGCAGAGACCCACAGACTCACACAGAGACCTACAGACTCACACAGAGACCCACAGAGACCCACAGACTCGCGCAGAGACCCACAGACTCGCACAGAGACCCACAGACTCGCACAGAGACCCATAGACTCGCAGAGACCCATAGACTCACACAGAGACCCACAGACTCGCACAGAGACCCACAGACTCGCGCAGAGACCCACAGAGACCCATAGACTCGCACAGAGACCCACAGAGACCCACAGACTCGCACAGAGACCCACAGACTCGCGCAGAGACCCACAGAGACCCACAGACTCGCACAGAGACCCACAGACTCGCACAGAGACCCACAGACTCGCACAGAGACCCACAGACTCGCACAGAGACCCACAGACTCGCGCAGAGACCCACAGACTAGCACAGAGACCCACAGACTCGCGCAGAGACCCACAGAGACCCACAGACTCGCGCAGAGACCCACAGACTCGCGCAGAGACCCACAGACTCGCGCAGAGACCCACACACTCACACAGAGACCCACAGACTCGCACAGAGACCCACAGATGACTCTTACAGAGACTCACAGACTAACTCTCTTACCACCCCCATGTACCCCCTAACCCCCCCCCGCCCCCCGCCCCCAGGCTGGTGTTCCGCAAGGTCCGTGCGACGCTGGGGGGCCGCGTGCGTCTGATGCTGTCGGGGGGGGCCCCGCTGTCCCCCCAGACGCAGCGCTTCATGAACGTGTGTTTCTGCTGCTCGGTGGGGCAGGGCTACGGCCTCACAGAGACCTGCGGAGCCGGAACCATCTCCGAGGGTGAGCAGTAGGCCGCGTCGAGGTTGCGTCAAGATTGCATCGAGATTGCATTCGAAATTGCGTCGAAATTGCGTCGAGATTGCGTCGAGATTGCGTCTAGATTGCATCGAGATTGCATCGAATTTGAATCGAATTTGCATCGAAATTTCGTCGAGATTGCGTCGAGATTGCGTCGAGATTGCGGTGGAGATTGCATTTGAAATTGCGTCGAAATTGCGTCGAGATTGCGTCGAGGTTGCGTCGAGGTTGCGTCGAGGTTGCATTCGAAATTGCATTGGAAATTGCGTCGAGATTGCGTCGAGGTTGCGTCGAGATTGCGTCGAGGTTGCGTCGAGATAGTGGTTCACGCCACGCTGCGCAACCCGAGTTCGATTCCCGCTCACGGCCAACACCACAGTGAAGATTATCTGAACCGGTCCTGGGCCTCCCCTAGGTCGACTCGGCCTCAAATGAGTACCTGGTGCGGTGTGTAGTAAACATCGCTACTGGGGAGACAAAGGCGGCCGGGCGTGGTGCTGGCCACCCACCCCCTCGTGTACCGTGCCGGCCTTCATAGGTGCTCGCTAACAGCACTTGCCCCAACAGTTTGTTACAGGCTACACGGGGGATCTTTGTTTTTGTTGCGTTGGTGCTGTGTGTGTGTGTGATGGTGCTGTGTGTGTGTGATGTGACTGTGTGTGTGATGTGACTGTGTGTGTGTGATGGTGCTGTGTGTGTGTGATGGTGCTGTGTGTGTGTGATGGTGCTGTGTGTGTGTGATGGTGCTGTGTGTGTGGTGCTGTGTGTGTGTGTGGTGCTGTGTGTGTGTGATGGTGCTGTGTGTGTGTGTGTTGGTGCTGTGTGTGTGTGTGGTGCTGTGTGTGTGTGGTGCTGTGTGTGTGTGTGATGGTGCTGTGTGTGTGATGGTGCTGTGTGTGTGATGGTGCTGTGTGTGTGTGTGGTGCTGTGTGTGTGTGGTGCTGTGTGTGTGTGTGGTTCTGTGTGTGTGATGGTGCTGTGTGTGTGTGTGTGTGGTGCTGTGTGTGTGATGGTGCTGTGTGTGTGTGTGGTGCTGTGTGTGTGTGATGGTGCTGTGTGTGTGTTGGTGCTGTGTGTGTGTGTGTTGGTGCTGTGTGTGATGGTGCTGTGTGTGTGTGGTGCTGTGTGTGTGTGTGTGGTGCTGTGTGTGTGTGTGTGGTGCTGTGTGTGTGTGTGTGGTGCTGTGTGTGTGTGTGTGGTGCTGTGTGTGTGTGATAGTGCTGTGTGTGATGGTGCTGTGTGTGTGTGTGTGTTGGTGCTGTGTGTGTGTGATGGTGCTGTGTGTGTGTGATGGTGCTGTGTGTGTGTGTGTGATGGTGCTGTGTGTGTGTGTTGGTGCTGTGTGTGTGTTGGTGCTGTGTGTGTGTGTGTTGGTGCTGTGTGTGTGTGTGTTGGTGCTGTGTGTGTGTGTTGGTGCTGTGTGTGTGTGATGGTGCTCTGTGTGTGTGTGTGGTGCTGTGTGTGTGTGTGGTGCTGTGTGTGTGGTGCTGTGTGTGTGATGGTGCTTTGTGTGTGATGTGACTGTGTGTGTGTGATGCTGTGTGTGTGATGGTGCTGTGTGTGTGTGTGATGGTGCTGTGTGTGTGTGATGCTGTGTGTGATGGTGCTCTGTGTGTGTGTTGGTGCTGTGTGTGTGTGTGGTGCTGTGTGTGTGTGGTGCTGTGTGTGTGGTGCTGTGTGTGTGATGGTGCTTTGTGTGTGATGTGACTGTGTGTGTGTGATGCTGTGTGTGTGATGGTGCTGTGTGTGTGTGTGATGGTGCTGTGTGTGTGTGATGCTGTGTGTGTGATGGTGCTGTGTGTGTGTGTTGGTGCTGTGTGTGGTGGTGGTGCTGTCTGTGTGTGTGTGATGGTGCTGTGTGTGTGTGATGGTGCTGTGTGTGTGTGTTGGTGCTGTGTGTGTGTGTTGGTGCTGTGTGTGTGTGATGTGACTGTGTGTGTGTGTGATGGTGCTGTGTGTGTGTGATGTGACTGTGTGTATGATGCTGTGTATGTGATGTGACCTTGTGTGTGTGTGATGTGACTGTGTGTGTGTGTGGTGCTGTGTGTGTGTGTGATGGTGCTGTGTGTGTGTGTGTGTGATGTGACTGTGTGTGTGTGTGATGTGACTGTGTGTGTGTGTGATGTGACTGTGTGTGTGTGTGATGCTGTGTGTGTGATGTGACTGTGTGTGTGTGTGTGCTGTGTGTGTGATGTGACTGTGTGTGTGTGTGATGCTGTGTGTGTGATGTGACTGTGTGTGTGTGATGCTGTGTGTGTGATGTGACTGTGTGTGTGTGCTGTGTGTGTGTGTGATGGTGCTGTGTGTGTGTGTGATGTGACTGTGTGTGTGTGTGATGTGACTGTGTGTGTGTGTGATGTGACTGTGTGTGTGTGATGTGACTGTGTGTGTGTGTGATGCTGTGTGTGTGATGTGACTGTGTGTGTGTGTGTGCTGTGTGTGTGATGTGACTGTGTGTGTGTGTGATGTGACTGTGTGTGTGTGATGCTGTGTGTGTGATGTGACTGTGTGTGTGTGTGATGTGACTGTGTGTGTGATGGTGCTGTGTGTGTGTGTGATGTGACTGTGTGTGTGTGTGATGTGACTGTGTGTGTGTGTGATGGTGCTGTGTGTGTGTGTGATGTGACTGTGTATGTGTGTGATGTGACTGTGTGTGTGTGTGATGTGACTGTGTGTGTGTGATGTGGCTGTGTGTGTGTGTGATGCTGTGTGTGTGTGATGTGACTGTGTGTGTGATGTGACTGTGTGTGTGTATGACGTGTGTGTGTGTGTGCTCAGTGTGTGATTTCAGTACGTGCCGTGTGGGAGCGCCACTCAGCTGCTGTGAGATCAAACTCAGAGACTGGGAAGAGGGTGAGGGAGCACCACACACTCCACCATCACTTCCACCATCACCTCCACCACCATCACCGCCACCACCATCACCTCCACCATCACCTACACCACCACCATCACCTCCATCACCACCATCACCTCCACCACCATCACCTCCATCACCACCATCACCTCCACCATCATCACCTCCACCACCTCCACCACCACCACCATCACCTCCACCACCTCCACCACCACCACCATCACCTCCACCATCACCTCCACCATCACCTACACCACCACCATCACCTCCATCACCACCATCACCTCCACCATCATCACCTCCACCACCATCACCTCCACCACCACCATCACCACCATCACCTCCACCATCACCTCCACCACCATCACCTCCACCACCATCACCTCCACCACCATCACCTCCACCATCACCACCAACACCCTCCCCCTCTCCTCTCCCCCTTTTTCCCCCCCTCCTCTCCCCCCCTCCTCTCCCCCCCTCTTCCTCCCACTCCTCCCTCTCCCCCCCTCCCTCTCCCCCCCCTCCTCCCCCCCTCCACTCCCCCTCCCTCTCCCTTCCCCCTCCTCCTCCCCCCCTCCTCCTCCCCCCCCTTCCTCCCCCTCCTCCCTCTCCCCCCCTCCTCCCTCTCCCTCCCTCCTCCCTATCCCCCCCCTCCTCCTCCCCACCTCTTCCTCCCCCTCCTCCCTCTCTCCCCTCCTCCTCCCCCTCTCCCTCCTCCCTCCCCCTCCTCCTCCCTCTCTCCCCCCCTTCCCCCCCCTCCTCCCTCTCCCTCCCCCCTCCTCCTCCCCCCCCCCCCGTGGTTGCAGGCGGCTACCGCGTGACCGACCGTCCGTACCCGCGGGGGGAGATCCTGGTGGGGGGGGGCAACGTTGCCGTGGGTTACTACCGGGACGAGCGCCGGACCGCCGAAGACTTCTTCACCGAGCCGGCGAGCGGCCAGCGCTGGTTCTGCACCGGCGACATCGGCCAGATGCACCCAGACGGGTGCCTGCAGGTCATCGGTGAGGTCACCGTCACCGTCACCACCAAAACCACAACCACCACCACCATCACCACCACCACCACCGTCACCACCACCACCATCGTCACCACCACCACCTTCACCACCATCACAACCACCACCTTCACCACCACCTTCAGCATCGTCACCACCACCACCACCTTCACCATCGTCACCACCACCTTCATCGTCACCACCACCACCTTCACCATCGCCAGCGCCACCACCTCCACCATCATCACCACCACCACCTTCACCACCACCACCTTCACCACCGTCACCACCACCACCTTCACCATCGTCACCACCATCACCATCGTCACCGCCACCACCTCCACCATCATCACCACCACCACCTTCACCACCACCACCTTCACCACCGTCACCACCACCACCTTTACCATCATCACCACCACCACCTTCACCATCGTCACCGCCACCACCTCCACCATCATCACCACCACCTTCACCATTGCCACCACCACCACCTTCACCATCGCCACCACCACCACCTTCACCACCGTCACCACCACCACCTTTACCATCATCACCACCACCACCTTCACCATCGCCACCACCACCACCTTCACCACCACCACCCTCACCATCGTCACCACCACCACCCTCACCACCGTCACCACCACCACCTTTACCATCATCACCACCACCACCTTCACCATCGCCACCACCACCACCTTCACCGTCACCACCACCACCTTCACCACCACCACCCTCACCATCGTCACCACCACCACCCTCACCATCGTCACCACCACCACCCTCACCATCGTCACCACCACCACCTTCACCACCGTCACCACCACCACCTTTACCATCATCACCACCACCACCTTCACCATCGTCACCACCACCACCTTCACCATCGCCACCACCACTACCTTCACCACCACCACCTTCACCATCGTCACCTCCACCACCTCCATCATCATCACCACCACCACCTTCACCACCACCACCACCTTCACCATCGTCACCACCACCACCTTCACCATCGCCTCCATCGCCACGGAGTGCGCGTATCGCATGTAGCATGCGTGTGACATGCGTGTGACATGCGTGTGACATGGGTGTGACATGCTTGTGGTGGACTCAGACCGCAAGAAGGACCTGGTGAAGCTGCAGGCGGGCGAGTACGTGGCGCTGGGCAAGGTGGAGTCGGCACTGAAGAACTGTCCCCTGGTGGACAACATCTGTGCCTACGCAAACAG